CCCACATGACAAAATTGTGCAACATTAGCGTTTAATAAACGTTTAATGGTGACTTGTAACGTTAGGGTATAAGTACCATTAACTTACTATTAACGTCACCGCGACTGCTAATGTCCGCCTTCAAGAACGTTTCTCTGTAACGTCTAAATACCTACGTTTAGCAAACGTTACATCATATAACACTTTATAACATCAGCATTTAACGTTAATTGAACGTTTGAAATAAACGCCAATGCGATGTAACTCTCTTATGTTGTATAAACGTGGTACAAAAATGTTTATTAAACAATACTAAATTACGTTTATATAATCCTTATACATTGACGGTTGGTATTATTAAAGTCATATTTACTATGTTGTAAGCTAACAGTGTTGTTAAGGAATGTCTTAACAACACCGTTAGCTGACAACAAAGTTAAGTCTGGCTTTATAATACCGCCCGTCAATGTACAAGGATGACATAAACGTAATTTAGTATTGTCACAGATTGTGTACTTTAATAAACATTTTTGCACTTTGATACTAAAGTGCACAATGTAAAAAAATTCAAATTCAAAATAATTCAAATAATTTTTTACCAGAAATTTAATGTATAAAAAATTATTTCATTCACATCAATCACTTCACAAAATTGTTAAAAATGTCCCACCATTATAAAGAATGCACAGTTACACACATATTTTCATTATCATCGAAAACTCATTCTAACATTACTGGTGTAATGTTCATTAGTTCCTCTTCGATTGCATTTTGAAGTTCCTCAGTGATGTGCAGACGATTTCGAAAAATATTGTATTTCAAAATCAGAAAAAAAAATCTAACGGGCTTAGATCTGGAGAACGTGGTGACCACAATCCTCTGCTAATTAATCGTTCATCGTAAAACTGTTGTTCGGCATCATGGAGTATTTGTAAATGGAAAATACCTTGTAGGAAAACGTTGGATATCAGGAAATTCTTGATAGAATTGCTGGCGACAGGACTGAATGGAATACGTCCATGTTCCATCCTGTAGACTTGCCCTTCGATAATGTTCCTTTAAGACGAACGCGTCATGTTTTGGTGAAAAAGACATTGTGGAAGATTCTAAAAAAGTAAGGTTATACATCCATAAAATAATTTACGTGTTTTACGTACTTTTACATACTGCTAACGCCTAGGAGGAACCCTGGTAGAACTGTTTGATTTAAAATAAAAAGATGCGTACAAGGTGGAAAATACAGAGAAATTCAACACGTAAAAATCGCCGTAAATGGATAGCTTATTCAGTTTATTTGTTGAAGTCATTGTCGTTCATCCTTGATGAAAAAACCACAATCGCCAATGTCTAACCCAAAAAACTCCACAATTTTTAAGCACTTAATTCAAACTATCCTCCACTTATTTTGAATCACATCACTCAATTCACAGAAAACCAGCATTCAACAAACATGTTAAACTGCAAATGAAGCTAAACCGAGTGATGAGTCACCGACCAGCTATTTTTTCGTTGCGCAATGCCCAAAGGCACATTTTTAATATTACAAGAACGTTACTGTAACTGTGCAACTTAACAGTACCAAAATGTCGTTGTTGTAATGTTAATCTTTTAAAAGTTGAACTAACGTAGTTACGTATGGTTCCGTCAACGTACGCAAATAACATCACATTCCTTAACATTATAGTGACATCGCAACAAGGTTTTGCATAAAAACGTTGTCAAAGTAATATTGGTATAACGTTAGCCTTCTAAATGTTATTTTAACGTAATAATGTCCCGTTCCAGCGACGCAAGTCCAAAAGGTTACAATTTTTAACATTACAAAAACGTCGTAACCACGGTTTAGAAAGAAAAGCCATTCAAGTATCGTTGGTATAACGTTAATGTTTGGTTTAATTGAGTTGTTTCAAAATGCAACATTCGTTTAACGTACCAAACGTTTTTTTAACATTGCTTGTCAAGTGGGGAAGGAGGTCTTTTTTGGATCGGTAACAGTAACGGCTGTTGATTGTTGATTGAATTCATTGGACAGCGCATTGTGCGATAAATATCATTTTGTATACCACATCATAGGTACAGACAGAAATTTAAAGCCAATTAATCGGTGTATTTACCAGTAACAAAACTCAGTTAATAAATTGGACAAAACTACATTCAACATCATCACATCTTTTTTGTATTTTTTTTATGAATTAAATCCATAATAGGTTTAAAAAATGTATTATCTCGTGCAGTCGGTAGCGTACAAAATTTGTAATTGTTTAGTGCTTATTTAATCGAAATCGCTTCAGTGGTTGAGATTTTACGAATTTTTACAGTTTTAAGTTTAATCTCAAGATTCATAACGCGCGAGACTAATTAAATCGTGAGAAGACAGGGCAGGAACCTCCAATCAACAGGACAAAAAAGGGCGTAACGCTAAGATAAGTGCTTACTTGCTTACTTACTCACTTACTTACTTAGAATTAAGGCTAAACTAAATTTAATTTAAAAGTGAACAAAGGGGAAAAGATAGAATAGAGAGGCGCAAGTCACTGGGAGCTACATTGAATATACCTACTTCGAATCGGGGTGGAACAAATTGACCCTTGGGAAAGGAAATATAAACTTGTCAACCGGAGACATATAAAGAAACTAAACCATAAATTACAATATTTAAGCTCTCAAATTTCGGTCTAATAGGCATGATTGACAAAAAAGGAAACCTTTCTTACCAAATTTCAGCGGCTTTTTTTTCCTGTTTTTTGCGCTTTTTACTTTCGTTAGTACCTTTAGTTTAGAGTCTCCCAGACACAATAGAATATACGAGGCGGTCAAAGATAGACTGAAGGGGCACGTCTCGGTGACTTAACAATTAAAAATTATCTCTCCTAGGTATCTCTTTTAGCGATCAATAAACAGCACCCACCACCCAAACCAGGATTAAGACCTTAAAGACAAGTACTCGTAACAGCGATCAAATAGAAGTACGATCAAAAGAATACATCCTAGAATGCATCAGTATAAATAAGGATGGGGACTGCCTGTTTGGAGCGATTGCGCACCAACTGAGGCGATTGCCAGTGACATCAGAGCCTCACAGGAAATTAACCAAATGATTAAAAAAGAAATCAACGCATACATCAGGGAAAACCTGGAAGATTTCTACCCACAATTGATAGGAGACGTAGACGGATACGTGGAGGGAAGAAGGAGAGAACCAGCAGGGTTGCGGAAATCGTAATCAAGAAGCACCGATGCATTGAGGTGGAGAAATTTGAAGGAAAAGCAAGAGTATATCAATGGCCCAAATCAAGATGAAAATAAGAAGACTAACAATCATAGGATGCCACATCCCCTCGGACAAAAGAGGGCAGGCGGAACTCAGAAATCGAAGTGAAACAACAAAAAAAAAGTGCGAAAAGAAGAAACCGGGGATCATAATAATTAATAATAATAATAATAATAATATATTTTAACCTTTTTAGCTATTTAACAATAGATGAGGCAAGTCAGTACAAATACATATAGTATATATAAAATAACAACAGATAAAACACGAATGAGACGTAGATAGACCAACAACAATTTAAAAATTAACTCATTACAACAAATACTACGTTTCTGAAAGAAGAAGAAACTCCTCAATTGTGTAGCAGCATTTTGAAACGAGGTAATCTTTCAGCGTCTTTTTGAAAAGTTTTGAGTCCTGAATCTGCTTTATATCAGCTGTCAGCGCGTTGTAGAGGTAACATCCTACGTAATGCACTGATTTTTTAAATTTGGTGTGTTGACATCTTGGTAAATACATATGGTGTCCTTTTCTGGTAAGGTGGTCATGATTATCGCGGTATCTTTTAAATTTACGTCTAAAAGTATGAATATAAAGCAAGATTTTGTATATGTATAATGATGTGAACGTTAGTATCCGACTGTTGCGGAAGGTGTCCCGACAAGATTGATTAAACTGGAGCTTGAAAATACGCCGGATTAACCTTTTTTGTAAAATGAACACACGGCTGGCTTCGGTGGCTTGTCCCCAGACAATAATATTATAGCTCATTACCGCCTGTACTTTGGCATAGTACACCGGGAGGAGAGCACTTTTGTGCATACAGTTTGTTAAACTGAGGAAAGCGTAGTGTAGTTTACTTAGTTGCGCACAAACCTTATCAACTTGTCCGGAGAAGGATAGTTTACAATCAATGACGGTTCCGAGGAAACTGGCATTTTCTGAAATGTTTATTTCATACTCTTGGTTTTGAATAGTTCGAACTTGCGCACACCATAGCTAAAGCATAGGCACGCCGTTTTATTAATATTTACAACTAGTCTGTTATTATAGCACCATTTTGTAAATAGTGAGAGCACTTTTTCTAATTTGGATGTTGCCTCTTTCAGAGAGGGTGCTGAGACGACGATGTTAGTGTCGTCCGCGTATACAAAAACTTTACAATGATCCGATAATTGATCGATCATGTCGTTAATGTAGATCAAGAACAGCAAAGGGGCCAACGTGCTTCCCTGCGGTGTTCCAATGCTGTTGGAAAATTCTTTAGAGGTCTTTCCATTTACATGAACTCTGAAGGTCCGGTTTGATACAAATGATAAAATCCAATCGTTCATTATTCCTCTGATTGTTATGTACGATACTTGTAAAATACGAAAATATAATTCAACATAATTACATTTATTGTGCACTGTCATTTTTACATACATATATACATGAAGTTCTCCCGGTACGGTAGGTTCCGTTACCAATTATAATAGTAAAATTCCCTAATACATTACAATTCTTCCCTCCTTTGTTTTCTTAATCAGGAGAGTATCGTCGGGGTGCATGCCGAATCCGCGTGGACCTTCGTTCAGTCTGGGGTAGAGTCGCGGCCTGGAACTCCTGTCGTTGAGGTACAGCTGGTGATCCTGGCGGAATCGCAACAGCTTGTGCTTCGGGTAATTCTGCAGCTCTTTCAGGAACCAGTTCAGGTTTATTATAGAAATGAACTCGTCTCTGTGCTGAAGAATTATCACTTGAAGATGTCGTCATAGATTGGTTAGAACTTTGACTAGTAGTTTGTTGGCATGACCGGATTTGATCAATATGACGTTTAAAGCGTTTACCTTCAAAGTCGATCTCGTAATGCAGATCACCTAGGCGTGTTATAATACGTCCAGGTAACCATTTATCCAGTCGTGGATTTCCAGATAAGAAGTAAACCAGGTGATTTGGTTGAAACACGCGAAATGATGGATTAAACGAGTTACGGTTTCTTTCCGTCATTCTGGTATACGTATCTTCGGGTCTCACCAAGTCTAGTCGCGAACGTATGACACGACCAAGGAAAAGAAGAGAGGGTTGTTGTCCTGTGGTAGCGTTTGGGGCTTTTCTGTACTGGCGTAGAAATTCATTAAGGTTTGATTTCAACGTATCTCGGTTAGTGCCCATTGCTTTAAGAGCATCTTTCACGCTTTGTACGAAGCGCTCTGCTTGACCGTTCGTTGATGGGTGATACGGAGCTGACAACTTGTGATATTTCACTCCACTCCACTGGAGAAATTGTTTGAACTCTTCAGATGTAAACTGAGGACCATTGTCCGAAACAATGGTGACTGGTGCGCCGTATGTTGCAAATAATTCGTCGAGGATGGTTATAGTTGATGAGGCTGTAGTCGACGCTGTTACTTTTACTTCAACCCACTTGCTATATGCGTCTACTAAAATTAGTAACATCATGCCGGCTACTGGCCCAGCATAATCAATATGCACGCGCTCCCAAGGCCCTTTCGGGTACTCCCAATGGTGTTCTCGAAATCTTGGAGGTACGTGTGCATGTTTTGCACATTCATTGCAAGATTTTGCGACCTGCTCAATTTCTCCATCGATCCCAGGCCAGTACACAAAGGATCGAGCAATTCCTTTCATTTTTACAATGCCGACATGTGCAGCATGTAGATCGTTTAAGATAGGTTGACGGAAGATTGGCGGAATGACAACTCGGTGTTCAAACAGCAAACATCCACCAGAGAGGGTGTAGTTCTTTTCGGGGGCCTTGTATCCATAGCGACCAAGATTTCGTCCCCTCTCCAACAATTGTACTATTTTCCCCAAATGATCATCCTTCCGCGATTCCCTAGATATGTCTTTAGCTCGAACAGGTAATTGTTTAATTTGATTTAGGGTGAAGTTGTCAAACCCGTCTTCTTCTTCCTCTCTCTCCAGTACGATTGATGACACAGCATGTGTTGATTTGTGGGTCGTTGTTACTGGTAAGCGAGAACAATAGTCAGCGTTTGTGTTAAGTTTAGTTGGCTTGTATTGAACATCGAAATTAAAATGTGACAAATAGTCGGCATAGTTCGCCATTCGACTAATACACAAAACTGGAAGAGATTTCGTAGGCTGAAGAATTTGTGCGAGAGGTTTGTGATCTGTTATTAAGACAAAATGGCGAGCATATATATAATAAAAAAATTTATCGACTGCCCAGACGATGGCAAGAGCCTCCTTATCCATTTGAGGATACCGCTGTTCTGTAAGGCTCAATGTGCGGCTTGCGTAAGCAATTGGCCTTTCTACACCATTGCTCAAGCGATGCGACAAGACTGCTCCTAGACCCATTTTACTTGCGTCTGTTGCCAATACTAGTGGGAGAGATGGATCATAAGGCATCAGGACTTGTGGCGAAATTAAAATATTTTTTAATTCGTTGTAAGCCTGTGTTGCTTCAGGTGTCCATGTAAATGATTCTGCCAGCAACATATCTCTGAGTGGACGACTTATCGTTGCTAGGTCTGGAATGAAATGATTGTAATAGGTTGCTTTACCAATGAACAATTCTAATTCCTCTGGCGTTGACGGTTTTGGTGCGTCTCGTATTGCTCGAATATGGCTGTCAGATTTGTGAATACCTCGTTCATCGATTTTGTGTCCTAAGAATTCTACTGAGTTTGTGGCGAAGACACATTTTGATCGGTTGAGGCGTAACCCATGTTGGCGCATTCGGTCCAGGGTGGCTTGAAGTGTTCTCAGCAGTTGTTCAAAACTTTCGGCAAAGACAAGGATGTCATCAAAGAAGTTTACGACATTGAGAAGGTCCTTCAAAACCGTTTCCATCCGACGTTGCCATATGGCTGGGATGTTCGCTGCTCCATAGATAGCTCTGGTCGGACGAATCAAACCATGGGTTGGTGTATTCAACGTCAATACTTCGCGAAATTTGTCATCAACTGCTAAGTGTGTATAGGCATCAGTGATGTCCAGATGACAGAAAAGTTTGGAATGCTTCATCCGAGCAAAAATGTGTTCCGCTTTCGGGATGGGGTGCTCGTCAATGATCATCCGTGGATTTACGGTTGGCTTATAATTCCCAGTGATGCGAATGTTACCATTTTTCTTCACTACTACATGAGTTGGCGAAGCCCACTCTGAATAATCGACCCTTTCGAAGAATCCAGCTGCTATCTTGTCATCGATCTCCTTAGCATATATGGAACGTAAGGCCAAAGGTATCTCTCGGGCGCGAACAAAAACCGGTGCTGCATCTGCCTTAAGGTGTACTTGAGCTGGTGGTCCGCTTAGTTTCCCTGCCGTGTTGCTGAATATGTCATCATATTGTGATAGCAAGTTACTAATTTGTTGCTGCTGCTCTCGAGAAAGTTGTGGCACCTTTGAAGAAATTGTATGGAGTTGATCACGTGAAGAGAATAGTTGAATAAAGTTGATTTCGTTAACAAAAGCCCTTATCCATTCTCGTCCAAAAAGAGAGTCATAATTCTCCTCCACAACATAAAGATCCAAAGTTCTTAACGTTTTGCCAACTGTAACTCGGACAGATGTTATACCAATACAATTAATACTATGTTTTGTATAGCTGCTGAACTGGCGGTCAGATTTCTTTAATGGTAAGTTAGGATTAATTGAATCTAAACGTTGTTTGCTCATAATGGCACAAGGTGCCCCTGTATCCAATTCCATTTTAATATCATGACCATCAATGTTTACGTTGATCATCTGCTTAGACATTCCATTTATCTCATTAATTGTGTTAAATTGATGGAGAATATCAATATAATTGGCCGGTTGAGGCGCTTCAATTACTTGGTTAGTGGTACTCTGAGCAGATGACTTTTTTCTACATACCTTTGAGATGTGACCTCTCTTGTTACAAGTGTGGCACGAGGCATCTCGAAAAGGACATTTGACACGTGCATGTTGACCACCGCACCCATTGCATGATGATTGAACATCATTACTGTTTTGGCCGATTCCTTGAGAACCCTTGAGGTCTTGCATTTGACCACGTGATGACGATCGCTTATGAAATTGAGACTTCTTGTGCTTGTTCTTTGGTGGCGCGTACCCTAGCTTGTTTGTACTTTCCACAGTTGCCGATGGGTGTGCTGTCCTCACATTATTTGACGAATTACGTGTAGCCTCCAATGTGTGTGCGATTTCATATGCTTTCTTAAATGATTCCGGGTTCTTTGATATGATTTCATCACACATTTCCCGACATTCCAGCCCATTAAGTAGTTGTTCGATTAGCATGCGGTCAAGAAACGCTGCATATTCACATTTGGCAGCTCCTTGTTTTAAGCGAAGGACAAAATTGGTTAATGATTCACCTTTTTGCTGAACAATATTCCGGAAACGTATGCTCTCTACATATTTATTTGTTGCACGATCAAAATGATTTATCAGTGTTTGTTTTAAATCATTATATGACACAGTTTCAGGTTCTGCTGGGCTAACAAGAAATTTGAGTGCATTATTTAGCTCAGAACCCATGTGAACACGAGCATACATTGCGAATTGATCTTCACGTACCTTACTTAGTTCGAGTGCCCAATCAAATCTCTTGAAATAGTCCTGTACCGTTGTACCATCTGTCGTACGATATTCCGACATAGAAAATCCCGGTGGTTTTGAGTGGGAAACTGTGGCCTCCGCCTGGACGTTTGGGTTTCCACCAGCATTTTCCCGCAGAGCGGTTGCAATTAATTGCGCGAATGATTGCAATAATTCCGGAGGTACGTTTGCCATATCGATTGTTTGAAGTATCCTGTACGTTAGGTTGATAAATCGAGTCCTTGATTACTATAATCATTGATTATACACGTGTATAATCAATGCTATAATGAATTGCGCGAAAGAGCAAAAGGCTTAGAGGCAAAAGGTCACTACACACGTGCAACGGAATGATTACGCCGATATCATTAGACGAGACGATCACGATAGTTGGCACCTGGTGTATTTTTGATAACCAAAAAATTGCAATTACAGACACTGTGGTAGCAATCAAACACGAGTTGTAATTCCACTTCTGACACCACTTGTTATGTACGATACTTGTAAAATACGAAAATATAATTCAACATAATTACATTTATTGTGCACTGTCATTTTTACATACATATATACATGAAGTTCTCCCGGTACGGTAGGTTCCGTTACCAATTATAATAGTAAAATTCCCTAATACATTACACTGATGCCAATCGTATTTAGTTTCTCAGACAGTATCATATGGTCCTTAGACTCTTTCCTTCTCTAAGATATGGTCAATAGTATCGAATGCACGAGAGATGTGAAATACCGCTAACACAACTTTACCATGGTCCAGTTCATTATGAACTACCTGGGTAAAGTCTATTGTGGCCGTTTCAGTGGAATGGTTTTCTCTGAAGCCATACTGTACTGCGATGAGCTTAGTAGGTTGTTGTTATTCAAGAACAGTGTCAATCTCTCGCAGACTATATTTTCAATAATTTTGGAGAAGATGGACAGCAGTGAGATCGCGCGGTAGTTGCCTGGATCCAGTGGATCCTTCTTTTTGTGCACTGGAACGACTTTAGAAGATTTCAGTTGGGAAGGAAACTTTCCACATTCAGTTGATATGTTGATTAACATGCTAAGATAATGGGCGAAGGTAGACCGGCAGTCCTTAATGATAGCGATGGGAACTTCATCAGGTCCACACGATTTCTTGTTACTTAGTGAGTTTATGACGTTTAGAACACTCGTTTCTGAGACGGGAGTCATGAAAAACGAAACAGGGCACATATTGTTGTCGATAACGCTGCAATCTCTGGGGAGCGTAAAGTTTGATCTAACTAGCTTTTCGATAGAGTCGACAAAGAAATTACCAAAATAGTTTGATATTTCCTGTGAATCTGTAATGATTAGTCCATGCGTATTACGTATGGACAAGTTACCCCTAGTAGGGTTGTTTGACCTTCTACGTACTATATCCNTGTGAATCTGTAATGATTAGTCCATGCGTATTACGTATGGACAAGTTACCCCTAGTAGGGTTGTTTGACCTTCTACGTACTATATCCCATAGCGTTTTTGACTTATTCGAGGAGGTATGTATCATATTGGAGTAGTATTTGATTTTCTCATCTTTAATCTGCTTTTCCAGGTGTCTCTTCATTTCTTTGTAGGTGGTGTTAAGATTTGGATTCGCTGAAGTTTTACGGATCCAATTTAGGTGTTTAAAATGCTTAAGAGTCGCGTACAGCTCCTGTGGGTATTGGAACTCCTTTACCGAGGATTTGCCGTTCTTCACCGATCGCGTTTTACTGGGGAAGGCTACGTTAAAACACCACTCAAAGGTGCACCAAAATTTAGAGAAGGCAATGTCAATGTTGTTGCATTTCCCGATATCTACCAGTGAGCCTGTAAATAATGTTTTAAATTCGGATATGGAAGATTTGGTAATCTTCCGCATTCCCGTTTGGGGTGTTTGTTTATAATTCGTACACATAGGGTTTAATTTCCAGCTACAGATTTGTGCCGTATGATCGGATAGGCCAGGATCAAACACGGAACAGTCCTTTACGGAGGAAGGCGGTAAATTAGTGATAATGTAATCTAGGGCGCTGCAGGTGTTACTGGTAATTCTGGTAGGTACAACGAGTATAGGTTGAAGGAATCCGTCACGTCAGTTAGACTTTTGAGGTTACTTGTGCGAGATAAGGCATAGTCGGCATAATTCCGAATACCAAGCACCTACCTTTATATGTGGTCGTTTATGTGCATACTGTATTGCGTCACATTAAGCAACTTTAAAAAGCGGGCAATGTGGGTTCCAAGACCGGTCTTTGTCCGCTCTTGCTCCCTTCTGGCTACGGCCATGACATAATTGCACTGCAATTGCTCAACGGAATCACACTTTTGATGGGGGAATCAAGAGATCCAAAATTCACACTACGGGGTCGAGTGTTTGGACGTTTTCCCAACGAAATTGCTGAATGTATAACGATAAATATACATGGTTGGTAGCTTTCAGACGAAGTAGTCCACTGCTCAAACTCTGCTGCAATCAAATCTGAATTAAACACAAATTGTTAATCGTTTCTTTATTTAAATATAGTAATTGGTAAAGGGACCCTAAGGTTTTAGATACACCAACTATAACGAGGCGTATAAACTTAAACTGAACCTTAGCTATATCAAGTATAGTTCAAGTAAAATAGTAAAATTCTCACTAAGTCAATAATGATCAAAAGTTAAATAGTTCCAATATCAAATCTATCATATCGCTCTAGGTAGATACATAATACTCAAATATTGTTCGTCTTCCTAAAAGGTAATTAAAACATTACCTAAAAATGCGAAAATTCATGAAATATGTCTCGCGCGTCAAACAGTCTAAATAAAAATAGCACCTGGGCTGAACACGGCAAAGAAAAAAATATCAAAAAAAATATCTAGGTCTTTTGCTTAGCAATTAAAGCATCTAAAAGTCTTAATTTAGCTTTCGTTTTCTTGTAAGAACTGTAAACTGTCGACATCAGAATTTTATCATCTTTTTGTAATTTCCTTCCAGTTTTGGTTTGCATTTCATTTTCGAATTCTTTCAAAGACCTTCTCAACTTCTTTTTCTCCTCGTTCATGTCTTGCTGTTGCTGTAACAATTCGTTCAGTGTCAGAGTGTGGAAACTTTCTCCCAATGAAATATCAGTGTCGCTATCTGTACTGGCAGATGGATTAAATTTGTCCGTTTCGGTTTCGGAAGTTTGTGGGGTTGAAGATACAAAATCCATTGTTTCGTGTTCGTGGATCGTGGCTAGTTCGTTCACGGCGCTGGTGCTCTGTAATAGGCAAAAGACGCGTGTTACAAGGGAGTTTAAAAATTGATGCAACGTACCAATGAAATTTTAGCCATCATTCGTTTTAGTGTTCTGTAACGATCGTAAAGCGGTCGCACTAAATCGCGATCACCTTTTGTACTGGGACGACCATGGAGAAATTCTAAATACAGCAACGCTTTTTGAATTGCAATTTTTTCATCAATAATTTGTTCATTTGTCATATCTTCTATCTCAACGCTGCGTTCCGATGTTATCCGCTTCTCACTTAATCTCTGGCGGGAAAAAGAAACATGGTTTAGCTACACAGGATGCAGATAATTACAAACATTGATAAAGCTTATAAGCTACGCAACTCAAAAACATGACCGCCCGACAGAAATTAAAAAAAACAGTTCAGATTGTGATTAAATATCGTGTTCAAAAAAATGATTACCAAAAATAGTAAATTAAATTTAAGGGTAAATTCCATTAGGAGTACTAAGAGAAAATTGGAAATCTGATTAGAAAAGTTTGAACGAAGCATAGAAAAAATTCCAAAAGGTCCAAAGAATAAATACTTTGAAAGTCTGAAGAACCGGATAAATCTAATAGCTAAAAGAATGTGAAGAAACAAAACAAAATTGAACTAGGAAATTTTTATTTATGCCTACCTTTTCAATTTCCGCTAAAGTATCATTAATATTTAGTTCCGGTTTTGGGGAGGTACAAACATTAGCATCTGGAGTAAAAGTAGTTGTAGTAGAACTAGTATCGCCTTTTAATTGTTTGTACTCCCTTTTAAACTTGTTCAGCTCCGTATATAACTTTCTTATGTTTTTATCATTCATTTTATCCGCCTGCGACGATTTATACCCGTAAGTTTGCTGAAACTCTTCATCGTAGTTTTTTATTTTGCGTTTCAGCGAGTTGATTTGCTTCGATAGTTGCTTCAGTTTCTTTTCCATGGGCGTCTTTGGATCTTTGCCTAGTGAAACTTTTGTTTGTTGAACGTTGGGGTCCAGGTATATTCGATTTGTAATCATAATCGAGTTACGCGGCGACGATAGCAGTCTGTTTGATGCCACCAGAAGACTCGGCAAGGTTTCTGTTTGCTCTGTTAACTCTTGACTCGAACTCGACGGCATTGGTTCTGAGGAGTCGATCTGTTGGTGGAGTGTGGTTAAATCCAAAGTGGATGCAACTGGTGTGTGTACTGGACTGGGTGAGGGATCTTTTTCTTGTTGATGGTTTGATGTTAGTAATTCAGTTTGGTTGTTATTATCAGAGTTGTTTTTGCGAGTTTCAAATGTTTCATATCGGTTAATGTCGTTGTTGTTGGTACACACAACACCATTTTCTTTTGTGAAATCATCCTTGTTAATTCGATGTTTAGAAACATGCTTACTCTTGTACTTCCGCCCGTGGTTTAATCTTCTTCCTCTTTGAGCCATAGCTGGCGCAAATCTTTCATGCCATCTACGTCTTTCGTGTTCATAGTCATCATAGACCAGTCCTTCCACGTATATACTTTTAGGGGGCGAGTATTTATCGTTTGCCTCAACCAATGAAATGACAATGGTGTCGTTGTGCTCTTGAAGTGGATGAGCTTTCTGGAAATCTTCGTGACTAACAACGCGTCGCATATCTTTTTTGTCATTATTCTTGATAGGTTCGATAGGTCTCTCCTCCGAATTTGATCTGATCACCTTTCTCTCTTGAGAAATGGAGCCAATACTTTCTTGCCGTTCTTTCCGCTTTCGCGCCTTGGCCGCACTCTTGGCTTCCTCAAATGTCGTCGGAGTTTGACTGTGTGACTTTCTTAAAGTGTCTGTAATCATCCGTTTTACTTTTCCAAATCTGGTTTCTTGTTCCTTCCGCACCTCTTTACTTTTGTCGTCTCTTGCGGTTGAAGTTTTCATAACGTCTTGGTCTACCATGTGGCTGCACTAAAAATTTCAACAGTTACGCAACAGTACTTTCGTGATTCAATTTGGGGAGTTGTTGCAAGGAAGCTCTACAAATACGAACTAAACAATAAGCTTGAGGTTACTACAGAACAAATGAAGGGAAATAATAATAGGATAACGTTTAAAACGAGCAAGAAAAGGCTTCTACCACACATAAATAAGTTTAACTGGCACATTTACAGAAACAAGCATAGCTCACTTACACTGCACTCCCTTAAAAGAGAGCAAAAACGTCGAATGTTTCGCTCAATATCGAAATTGACTACAACAGCTATGTGTATAAAGCGATATTATGAATATTATACGCTATAAGAAACAGTTACAAAGTTAAGCTGGATATTTATGTAATAGGATTCATATCTCTATCTCGACACATTGCAAATCTATGGCTGTTTTAAGAAGTGGGTCGTCACCAATCGCAGCTTTAGCATGTGGCTGTTAAAACCACACGACGGCGCTGCCCCTGGTCGCACACACTCGACGCTGTATTTAAACTGAAACAAAAGAAAATGCCGTTAGCATTTATTCGTGTTTTATTTCTGACTTAAAACGAGTAGGTTTGAACATAATTTATATCAACTATTGTGATTTCCTATTAAACACATATCAACGTCGTCTTATAGACGTTATTTCGGTTTAAACACCTAAAATAATGTACAATTTAGTACAGTAATCTGGGGGTATTTACGAATAATATAATGAAATTGCGTGTTTTAAATTGGGGAATCTGGGCGTTTGCGATAAGAGATTTTGATATCGGACGACATTTAATTAACGCACGTGTTTTTATCGCTGTTAGAAGAGGGATAACCCTTAACGATGTGCGCTTTATTTTCGGCTAAGCGGGGACGTGTTTCTTCACAGCCGGTGTTATCTAAACTAATTTTAATTGGCGCATTTGTGGTAAATACCGAAGGAGCGAGATTATTCTATAATGGAAGTGGTGTTCTCTTAAATACTGGAGACAATGAAAAAAAACTGGTGGTTTGCGACGGTTGAGAAAAAGCGTGAGGCTTTCTGTAGCTCTTATTATCAAAGATAAAGGTGTATATCGTTCGCAACCAACGATCATTATTGTCATCGTATTCAACAAACCAATTAAGATTTATGTGTTAAAAAAAGTGAAGTTCTGAAGTTTTCAGAGTTTATGTGTGAAGATAAGTGTTTATCGTAAGCTTGTTTACGACCAGATTACTTAGATTATTTAAAAAGAAAAACTGTAAGTAAGTGTCTTATTTGTCAAATCCCTGAGTGCGGAGGTAATCTGTTCAAACAAGCTTTGCAAGCTTTCTTTCAGAAATTTTGTTTAATGTTCGTGTCATGTGTTTGGAATTAAAGTTTGTCATTGTCAATCAATTAATTGTGTGTTTATTCGAACCCATTGTGCGACCTGGTAAGAGTTTTCATGTCAAATTTTTCTTCTCGTGTCCAAGAATTGTGTCAAGTGTTCATGAAAATTTCTGTTCCTTTGAAAGTTGATCGACGCTACCGAGTCTGCCAAATCCGGTCAAGGTATTTCAATTTTTGTTGGGTTCGAAAGCTCTTGTTAATTGGAAGACGAAGGCAAATTAATATTTTAGAATTTCCCGTTAAGTAATGTCCTATGGTAATTTACTACGAGCATTAAAACTGCAAGTTAATGTAGGTTTACGCCGATATCAATTTTGATAAGCGACCTTTATGCCGGCCGAAAGAATTCCAATTAACAACAAACCTTACTGGCCTATCGTTTCAATCCGGCCAATTAAGTATGTGCAATTAACAGTAGCTAAATAAATGTGTTGCAGTAAACGTTATCCGAATGGGGCTCTCAAAAGAAGGGCTCTTAATTTAAATGCTAAGACCAATTACACTCTTGTCCGCACACCGCACAATTAATTAAAGAAGTTTTAATTTTTGGACATTCTTATCCGAATACGCTGTGTCGGCTGGAAAACCGTCGATCCCTCCATCGCATAGTCGAATTTTATAAAAGGTAAAGCCGTTGTTTTTAGCGGAGATCTTTTTTGGCTTTTGCATCTTGCCAAGTACAGTAATTTTCAAACTTTCCGTAAATTTACTTCGACAACCGCACCGCATTTAAATCATAGTTCTTTTTGCCTTTGGTGTTTTAACCGGAATAGGTAAGTTACGTTTCGTAAGTACCGTAGTTTTGAGCTTTTCTATAAATGTATTTTGCATTCCTTCTCATAATTCCGACTTTAACCAGGGGCAAGAATTTGAAGAACCGGAAACGGAAAAACGGAAGAAAAAAATGCAGGACTCAAAGGAACCGAAGGACTCCACACCTTTTAAAAACCTGAAAATCTTGTGGTTTGAAGAAGTCAAAGAAATGGAAGCATAGTAATTTGATGAATCCACATTTCTTGTTCTACCTCCGACACCCGGAAGGACAAATTGATAGACGCCCATAAATCACCACCTATAAACCTATAATTGAAGAATTATTCAAGAGAAAACATTGAAAATATTTTAATGAAAAACACAATCTGAATAATTTCAAAATGAAGAATTTGAATCATTTGAAGATTCGAACACACCGAAGCGAAGAATCTAAAAGATTTCAGAGAATGTGAAGAATCTAAAAATCGGCGAGATAAAAAGGAACGAAAAAATCAACAGATTCATACGAAACATAAAAAACGAAACTTGAGTGGAGCAACTGGAAGATCTGTATGTCCATACATTTGAACGCACGGAGAGACGGACAAACATTACAATTAACAACCTTATAAAGCAGTAGGCTACCCGTTTCTACACTTATGTTAAATAAACAGATCCTTTGTTTTATAAACAAATGGCAACTGGTTTCGGGTGCAAAAGTGAAACGTTTTTTTGTGAAAATGCATCTTAGGCTAGAGAGAATCTAAAAGTACTGCACTTACCAATGCACAAGCGAACTTCATAGGAACGTGTTAGGAAAACCGATTCACCATGTAAAAAAAGCATTACAACTAACTCAAAATACTATTAGTAAAACTGTACCTGAACAAACCGTAAAAACATCCTACTACGATATGGTATCAACTTTCCTGCAGATAAACACTTTTACAACTGGCTACTCTGAGCAGCGACTACAATCGTGTAAGTCACATCCAGCAGTTATCGCACTGTTTTATAATTTTTGGAATGCAAGCGGAGTAAATACAATATAAATAAACGATAACGATTTAGTTCAAACCAGATTTATGTTTACTTTATCTCGCAGCATCAAGCGGATTTTTTAAAAGGTGTATCCTAATCTCTCGAGCAAATTGTGGAAACTGGGACGATTTTGAATTATGTATTTCCACCACCAAAGCGACGCGTCGAGGACCTTTTCCAAAAAAGTTACCATTGATATTATAATTGGTATAAATAGATGTAATGTATTTTTTAATACATCTTGGCCAATCTGTTAACAACTAATCAACATCAAAAGGAAGGACTTCCTGGCAAAATCTTAGCAAATGGTGGGTATTTGGCAACAGAAAGAAACCGGGTTATAAATTCGGTTAATGGTGTCTAAATTCGGGCCAAGCTTTGGACGAGAAACCGCTTTATAACTTTTGTGAATGTTTTCGTTTTTTGAAAAATAGATGTGATGATTTACATTAAAAAACAAAACCGAGTCGATCGAGTTGAGATTAATTGGCATGATTCAGGTAGAACGCCAGCATTTTTGGCATGTTCAAATTTGTAAGTGCTTGATAATTCTGTCAATACAAAATGCCAACTGCGTATATGCGATTTTTCAAGGGACTATGCCAAAATTAATAAATCTACGGCTCAACGAATGTCAGTGTATTTCAATAACCCATTCTTTTCGCCCGTTTGTGTCTACCGTGCCAATATTAAACCGTGCAATGGTTATCATATCCAAACATAGAATCAAGTTCATTACACTCTACCAAAAGTAAGCTAGGAGATTGTATCTACATTCTCTCAAAGTTGGGAAGCGTCATGGCTATGACAACAAATGGATTACTCCGTCGAAAAATAAAATTCCTAGCAATAAAAGCACAAAGTCCGCTATCGTAACGTAACATAAATTAGATAATAATTCAAAATCAATTGCTGCGAAACACGTAACAAAGTCACATGGGGAAACTTAATTACGTGACATACCTAACCCCAACGTCCACAATGAATCGCTTTAATTTAATTTAGTTTGAAGTTAAAGCATTTGAAGCACGACATCGCGAATAAGAAATTTACCAACTTAAATACGGCTTTACGGATTAAAAATGTTCCAAAAGTTGCAAAATTTTGAGTGATTTGACACACTCAAAGGGAATTTCAAATAAATTCCATTCGCACATTAATCAGCTAGAAAATTCCAAAATGTTTCAAACAAGTAGAAAATGATTCTAAAAATTAAGATTGAGGACACCAGATAGAAAAAAATATACCGAAAAGAAATTCCAAATGGCATTTAATAAAGTACCGACGGTAAATTTTCATATAACGGTACCGATCGATCTACAAGGTGTTATAATTTCACGATTAATTTACAAACACAAAATTCAAATGCGAACTAACAAAACTACATAATAAAACCAAGAGATTATCCAAATAAAGCCAGGGCCTACTGGACCATTTTACATTTTTGTTTCTTTCATTTAGCTACCAAAAATTGACTTATTTTTTTTCTCGTTAGCTGCCACGGATACGAAAAAATTACAGGAGACCTTTAAAAAGTTTCTAAACAAACCAGAAAAACAATATCTTATTTTACAATCTACCAGCGGCGAAAAAAAAAGTTCAGGGGTAGAAAATGGCACATGACCTCTAAAAAAACATCCCCCAGTAGATTCTCACTACCATTTACATAATCAAGGTTGTAAGCCCTTCAGCGTAACATATTCCAAATTTGAGCCAAATATCTCAAAAACTGCAGGATACCTATAAAAAACAAAATCGTGAAATTTAACACCCTGTAAATCGGTAACTAAGCGGACCTATGCTTTTATGAACTTTTAATCATAAAATAACACAAAGAATTGGTCCCTTTCGTATTTACATCATATATAGGAACACCCTGTATAACACAGAAAACCATTGCTTTTCATTTTAACATTTCCCTCGAGATTTCCCTCACTTCTCGCTTTATTTAAATTGATTTTTGGCGACGTTCAGTCGTTTCATGGACTGATGTTATTTAAGTTTTTAAATTTAGATTCCTTATCTCTCTTATCTTGTGTAATTTCATTGTTTCGCGAGCCATTTCGAAAGACCATACTTTGCCTTCATTATCAAGAAATATTTTTATATCAGGATTAAAAGTAATACGTAATATCAATCGAGATAAAATGGACAATAATTACTGTGAATCGATTCAAGAATTATGTCAAAATTATGAGCTAACGAGCTTTCACGCTTCCCGTCTGGGGTCACTTTTAATTGTATCCGAATTGCTATAGAGGGTCTAGACTCAAGAGAACGTCAATTTCTACAAAAATATAAAACACAACTAAATATAGCTGTTCCTGCTGATTCAACGTGTTTTAATTAA